CTGCAAGTAGACAATGCGGGTTAATGGAAACGCGAGAAAAAAAATGTTTCCTCTGAAAAAAAGAGACGAAAAAAAGGAGAAAAGAAACATTTCTTCACCACAAATACCCCTATTAATGGAAAGCAAAAGACTGTTCTCCGAGAACCGTCGAGGAGTCAGTGTGACCGAGTTCCGTTTACGCATGCGCACCTCTTCTTCCTCTTTCCTTTTTTTCTTCACTTTATCTCCCCATTCCTTTCTTTTCTCGCCTACCCTTATTCCTGAAGTTTCTGGATTCATTTTCTCCACATTTTTTAAAAAACTTTTTCTCTTCTTCCCCTCTTTGCTTTCAAACTTTGCAATTACTTTCTCGTAATTTTTGTTACTCCCCCCCTTCTTTCTCTCTCTCTCTCTCTCTCTCTCTCTCTCTCTCTCTCTCTCTCTCTTTCTCTCTCTCTCGCTCTCTCTCACTCTCACTCTGTCTCTCTCTCTCTCTTTCTCTCTCTGTCTCTCTCTGTCTCTCTCTCTCTCTCTCACCCTCTCTCTCTCTCTCTCTCTCTCTCTCTCTCTCTCTCTCTCTCTCTCTCTCTCTTTCTCTCTCTCTCTCTCACTCTCTCTCTCTCTCACAAAAACAAATTACGCATAGATACAGCTGTCCCTTTCAGGCGTTCTCAGCGACACTGTCTGCTTACTTGATTACCGAGGGAATAGACGCACTTCGACAGCAAACAAAACTCCCCGCGCACGCCCCCTTCGCGAGGGAAAAGCGGAGGCCGAGAGAGAGAAGGAGGACGAAGAAGAATGAAAATGGACGGCCGGGATATGAATGCGGAGGAGGGCGAGGGAGAATGAAAAAAGGGGAGGGAGAAAAGGGAGGAGGACGAGGATGAATGAAAGAAGGGAAGGAGATAAGAGAGAGAGGGGACTAGACAGAAGAGACGTAGGAGAGCTGGAGAAAGCCAGAGAAGGAGACTCCCTTTGCATACTAACCTCGTCATTCTATTTTTTTTTTCTTTTTTTTTTTGCTTTTTGTTTTCTTGTTTCCAGAGTAGTAGGGTGAGAGATACAAGCGAAAAAAAACTGAAAGTGCAATTTTAGAAGACGACAGAACCTATAAAAAGATAACGGGATTTCAACTTCCTTTTCCACGATGTGTTTCCCATTTTTTCCCCTCTGCCTTCTCCTCTCTGTTCTTCCTCCCCCCATTCTTTCCCACCACTACCAACATCTCATTCTCCTGCTCCTCTTCCAATCCTTCTTCACCAACACTTTCTCTCCCTCTCCCTCTCTCCCTCTCCATCTCCTCCTCTTCCTCTTCCTGCTCCTCCTCCTCCTCCTCTTCCTCCTCCCCCTCCTCCTCTTCCTCCTTCATCCGAGCTTCAAGACCTCCTCCTCCTCCTCCTCTTCCTCCTCCTCCTCCTCCTCTTCCTCCTTCATCCGAGCTTCACCTCTTCCTCCTCCTCCTCCTCCTCCTTGCTTGTTAACGGGCCGGGCCGTATTTGCATCTAGGGGCAGCCCAGACGCCCCAGTGAGTAAAGCGAGGAGAGCATGAATTAATACAAGTGTAAATAATGCTCGCCGGAAGATTAAATTAATCAGCATCGGGCAACAAACCCAGAAGGGGGGAGTGTGGGCGGCGATGTAATAGACCGTGGCCTCTCACATCTTCCAAGACGATAGATTTTCCCGTCTTAATCAAGGAGTTTTTGGCGACCCGAATGTGACCAGGAGAGCGCTTCAAGTTCAACGCGAGCAGGCGTCGAGGAAATTAAGATTACACTATTGGTATATCCCGCTCGGGAATTGAATGAAGGATTATCTTGTGCGTGCGTGCGTGCGTGCGTGTGTGTGTGTGTGTGTGTTTGTGTGTGTGTGAGAGACAGAGGAAGAGAGAGGAAGAGAGACAGAGAGGGAGAGAGGGAGAGAGAGACAGAGACAGAGGGAGGGAGAGGGAGAGAGAGAGAGAGAGAGAGAGAGAGAGAGAGAGAGAGAGAGAGAGAGAGAGAGAGAGAGAGGAGAGAGAGAGAGAGAGAGAGAGAGGGTGAGAGAGACAGAGAAAGGGAGGGAGGGAGGGAGGTGGGGAGGGAGGGAGGGAGGGAGGGAGAGAGGGAGAGAGATAGATAGAGGGAGAGAGAGAGAGGGAGAGAGAGAGGGAGGGAGAGAGAGAGAGAGGGAAAGGGAGAGAGAGAGAGAGAGAGAGAGAGAGAGAGAGAGAGAGAGAGAGAGAGGAGAGGGAGAGGAGAGAGATAGAGAGAGAGAGAGAGAGAGAGAAGAGAGAGAGAGAGAGAGAGAGAGAGAAAGAGAGAGAGAGAGGGAGAGAGAGACAGAAAGAAAGAGAAACAGGAAAGCCCATTAGAAAGTAGATCTCCCCCGGAACACTGCGACCTAGCCCTACCCCCCTTCCCCCCCTCCCCCCAAACGCCCGCCCCGCCCTCGCCCTCCACGCCACTCAGTGTCTTGCCGGGTTAATCATCGTCCTTTGGCTCCCGCATCCCCTTTAAGCACCCGGGCGAGAGGCGTGGCCGTCGTGTTCATCTTCCGAGAGGAATTCTGCTTTCGACGACCACCGCCTCGGCCTCTCCCGCTCGCCCCCGCCCGCCGCCGCCGCCCTAATCGCGTTGTCACGGCCCGCTGACCTCGTGCCACGGGAATGGGCGGAGAAAGGGGAAGGGGAAGGCGAGAGGAGAAGGGGAAGGAGTAAGGGGCAAAGGGAAGAAGGAAAAGGGGGAAGAGGGGAAGCGGGTAGAGGGCAGAGGATAGCAGGATTTACATATTCACTCTCGTCATCGCAGACGGCGAGGGGGGATAGGGGCGGGTGAGGGGGAAGCGGCGAGCCTTGTTAATTATCTTGGTAAACGAAGGTGATCGATTTCCCCAAATAGGAGTGAACTTTCAAAGGTTTTAAAGATGCAAAACCAGGTTCACAGGGGGTACGCAGGTGAAGGAGTTCGCAGGCGTTTTGGTAGCGCCGCGCCGCGCTGGTCGAATTCTGCGTGCATTGCTATCGCATGCTCGCCCCCTGCAGGTAGGTCCGCAAGAGAGCCTCGCCGAACGCGTCCTGCCGAGAACTGGCCGCCGAGGAGTGTCCCAGGGGTCATCAGCAGTCATTCCAGCCGCGGGCGAGGAAGGGGTGGCCGGTCCGCGCCGCCACGGCCGTAGGGGGAAGGACGGCGCCGGTCTCCGTGGCTGTCGCGTCCAAAGGGATATATGAGGCTGCATCTCGGGCTCCGATAATTCACAAGGTGGCGATGCAGTGGGGAAGGAAATGCGTCTCTTTCTTTCTCCTTTTTATGGAGAGATGGCGAAGGCTAGAGAAGGCGATCATTATTGGCGACGTCCGCGTTAGCAAGCGGAGTCTGTTAAACGAAGGAATTTCACACTCTAGAACAGGCTTCTGGTTCCTTGTTCTGTTTCTTCGTGCGTGCACACACACACACAAATGCACGTGTATGTATGTGGTTGTGTGTGTTTGTATCTATCGATATATATCTATCAGTCTATATGTATCCATAAATATATATACACTGTACATTACCTGAGCGTATGTATCTGTGTATCTGTGTAAGTGTATGCCTATGTGCGTGCGTGTGTGTCTGTGCGCGAGAGCCTTGCCGAGACTACAAATGTATGATTTCACTGTAACGAGATACTTAAGATTCCAGCAAGGCCTCCTCATTGATCTCCGAGGATGGGCTTAGCTGAAGAGGATAAGAGAGGGGAGCGGGACAGAAAGATGTATCTATATCTATCTATCTCTCTGTATATATCTTTAGATATGTATGTATATATATATCTTTTTCTATATATATCTATATCTATATCTACCCATCTATCTATCTATCTATCTACCTACCTACCTACCTATCTATCTATCTATCTAGAGAGGGAGAGAGAGAGAGAGAGAGAGAGAGAGAGAGAGAGAGAGAGAGAGAGAGAGAGAGAGAGAGAGAGAGAGAGAGAAAGAGAGAGAGGGGGGGGGGAGTAGGGAAGAGATAGATAGATAGATAGATAGAGAGAGAGAGAAAAAGAGAGAGAGAGAGAGAGAGAGAGAGAGAGAGAGAGAGAGAGAGAGAGAGAGAGAGAGAGAGAGAGAGAGAGAGAGAGAGAGAGAGAGAGAGAGAGAGAGAGAGAGAGAGAGAGAGAGAGAGAGAGAGAGAGAGAGAGAGAGAGAGAGAGAGAGAGAGAGAGAGAGAGAGAGAGAGAGAGAGAGAGAGAGAGAGAGAGAGAAGAGAGAGAGAGAGAGAGAGAGAGAGAGAGAGAGGAGAGAGAGAGAGAGAGAGAGAGAGAGAGAGAGAGAGAGAGAGAGAGAGAGAGAGAGAGAGAACAAAGGATAAGACGAGCACGCCGTGTGCGCTGCAGCGTTTACCAAGTAATGGTAACGCAAACCGAATATTTGAACATCGGAGAACGAATGACAACTCGCTTCCTTTCCTGAAGCTATGCCGACCTGCAGATATTGCACATCCTCTCAGTATTGTTCAAAGATGTCGTCCAGTCTAGCAACACTACAAGCACCCGAAGTCAACAGCCATAACCTTATCTTATCTCCCAATTCGACCGCGACGCCCACTCGACGGAGCTTTATTTGAATTGGGCGCCAGATTCGAAACTTTACTCGAACCGGCGGCTCGATTCGATACGTGACGCTGCTTCGGAATAACCGTGAATGCAAGGATCAGAGACTGTTGCAACGGCGGAGTTCCTGCCATTCTTCCTGAAGCGAAGGGGAAATTAAAAAGAACAGAGGGGAGGAGGAGGGGGGAGATTCACAAGAAATCTTCGATATGACATGACATGCGACGCGATCTCCTTGACGACGAACATCTGTATTCAAATAAAAAAACACCTTTATATGACTCTTGTCGTTGCTCCTCCTCTTTTCACCGCCTTCACTAGTAACTTTATTAGTAACCGGACACACGTTTCGGTCACCTACTCGCTTGCTCTCGTTCACGGCGCTGATTCGCTTGCATAACTAATAACTAACGCGCCTTGGGCAGAGGTCAAGGAATCTGTAGTAG